CTTTGTCATTCTTCCCCTTTTTTGTAGGAGCTTGTGAAAAGAATGATCGCGGGAGAGCTGGCTAACTTAATTGATGTATGTGTGCATCCTGATAAATGAATGCATTCTTTATGATACTCTCCACCGTATGAATCTTTTGGGAAGAACGCGACTTTGTAGGGGCAGGGAGCCGATAGAGGCCAGATAATATTTAATTTTATTTTTTTACAGACACACAGCCAGGTAAGTTTAAGGAAATGACTTTGGTTCCCTACACACCCTCCGAGTGGTGTGATATTGGCGCCCGTCTCTGGGACATGGTGTGCCAATGTGGCGAGACCCAGGTGCAGATGACGTTCATTAATGGTAACCAGCTGTCGGACGGGACGTTAACTGTGGCCGCATCACCCACAGGCTTATGCTTGCTCCATGGACCTATCTCTAAAGCATGGCAGGGTTCTACTCTTATTGGACATCTTGCGAATCTACGGGCGCCTCAGATCCCTAATTTTGAGACACAAGTGCTCCTGCCCGCTATGGGGGCAGCCCGGGAGTTTGGGCACCAACAAGGGCTCATCACTGCTGAAAGGGAGCGCCTGAATATCGATTACGCAAACGCCGTCGCGGACGTGCAGAATCGGAATGCTCAGCTTAACTCGCAGGTTGAGGAAGCGCATCAAAACCTATCGGTAAGGGAATCCAATATCGCCGGGGTCGGCAACCTGGTCCTAGAACTACGACAGCAGTTGGAGGCTGCTCACGCCAAATTACGGGAGCGCGAATTCCACTTGGGAGTCCTCACTGCTCAACTCCAGGAACGGGAGGCACGCCATAATGCACAACAACCCGCGCGGTATGCGGAGACGGCGGGGCGGGGCAAGGCCCCCGCTACTTAACACGTTGCCAACGATGGCGTAAATACACTACCGCATCGAACGGATATCTTGATGGCTGGAGGCGTGCCTAGCAGCGCGGCCCGACACAGCTCGGCGGCCTACAGACTCTCTCACGGCAATGTTGGGAGACCACATTTCCACCCCTCCACGCCGTTGCCTTCCCGCACTTCTCCCCTGGACGTCCAATTACCCATGGAAGAGGACCGCAGTTTCTGCGCATTTGACGTCATCAGGTAGCCCACGCGTACATGGAATGAGGGCGCCTCCGGAGTCGTTTTCGGCCTCCGGTGCGCATACCAATGCTGGCAACAGGAGGACGAGCAGGTTAAACTTGCCTTTGACATTTTGGTCGAGTGGATCGGCGTACTGGAGGGCGGGCAGGATCCCACCGATCGCCTCATGAATATGGGGAGTTCCCTACTGAATACATTCCGGATGCAGCTCACGATGGCATCCGATCCCGGCATCCGGCTTTCCAAACTGCGCGCCCGTCTACACACCGCTGTTCACCAGACGGACGCTTATGCGAGGGCGACCCAGCCTCTCGTCGATCGGCGAGAAACCCAACGCACTTTGCGATGCCAACGATGTCATACCTATGGACACGAGGCATCTACATGCAATGTGCGCCCCAGAGGGAATTACTCACAACACAGGCGCCCATCAAAAAACGGCAGAGGGGCTGCCGCACGCCGCTCATGAATGCTGGCGACGGGAGCCCCATCCAACCCGCCACCTCCCACCATTACGCACAGGCGTCGCACCGCGCCGCCGATGCTCCACCCGATCTTTCAAATTGCCCGACGCAATCGTCGAGAAGGGCAATGGAGCTTATCCGTGAACGACGCTCGACTGTGGTACGACGAATTACCGACATCCCCGCTTTGGACAAGCTAAATGAGGGGAGCGAACGAGGCGGCTCGAGAGATTTTTTCGCCGTCAACGTGGGAGCAGAGAATTTCCCTTGCGGGGCAATTCACCACCTTTTGCTGCACGCACGAACGCACGATGAACGAGGAGAGCTGCGCGGTCTTTTTGGCGGCAATCGTCTGCGTGGCGCCATTGATCCGACTGCAGTACGCCAGGATGCTGCGGTCCATGTTGCAAATGAATCGAACCCCGCTGGACATGGTGATTCTGGGGTTACAAAAAATTGCGGCGTGATAAGAGGCGAAGCAGGCGCGCTCCTTGACAAAGGAAGAGATGAATCAACTTATCTGCAGCCGGACCGATTGGAGGGAACGTGTTGTTTTTCGACTTGCGTGGATAACGGCGAGCTGTTTGTCCGAGATTGCGGCTCTCACCCCCAACAATTCCACACTGGAGGCGGACGGAACCTTAATTTTGGATTGGCCCGTGGCGCCGAGGACGGCGAAGGCGGATCCCCACCGCGCCTTTCGGTTCGTCAGGATACGAGGGCAGGACGTGTTCGACATTATAACGTTATGCAGGACACTTCAAGAAAACGAAAAGCTCACGAATATTACGACTGCCAAAGTCGAACGAGCTCTGGCTCCTTGGAATGCCACGGCGCATTCCATAGAACGCGGTGCGTTGAGGCACGCAGCTCCAATCGTGGAGACACACGATTTTGACCCACACGTGATCTCGCCGTTGGCGGTGCACGTCGACCCGTTCGACCTTCCCCAGAGCACAGTTCGATATTTGGGGAGGTACACCACAATGCTGACCCAGGTGTTGCCGCTGGTCGCATTGATGTGAAGGAGAAGCTGCGGAAGGGCAGGAGCCCTGACTGAGAGCGGAGGAGCATTTTTTTTTTTACGATTTTAATCACAATTATTCTGCTACAATAACGAGACGCACGCCAAGGACGCGTCCGGCCACTCCACACGATGAACGAACCATCCCGTTACAGCAAGTCAACGTGCCCTTATTGAACCTAGAGTGGATCAAAAGTTGGTTGAACCCGGCCACCTTGGAGAGTCTTATGCAAGTATGGGGACTCGTCGGGTGGTCCCCTCTTCCACCGTCTTCCTCCGGTAAAGCGCGCGAAGGCTCACGGAGGATTCCAGTCGCTGACGCGCGATTAATGAAGGAAGCGGGAATAATCGAGGACGCATCGTTCACAGTAACAAGCGGCGGATGGATAAAGCCTTTTCTGTGGTGGAGGAGAAAACCACCGGTTTACGACGACGATGGATCGCGTGGCCACGCGACGAGAAGAGAGACGACCCTTACGAGGCGAATGTTCCTCTTTTACACATTTCCCATTATTTGTCACCTGTGATGGCGGAGGCCGCTTCCTGCCTGGAATTAAGGGCATTTTTTTTTCATAGTCTCTTTACCGCGGGGGCTCGGCATCTCTTTTGATGCCGCGTGGAGGACGGCACGCTGGTGGAGCTCACACGGCTCCCTATGGGATACAAGGCCGGCCCAGAAATTATCCAGATTATTATTACTTCAGCAATTGCGGGGGTGACGACGGTGGTTCACCGCCTCTGGGCTGCACCTCCATTGGTGCGTATCGACGTATGGATCGATAATATACGCATTGCAGGGTCGAAAAGCGATGTGACATTTTGGGAAGCCCAAGTGCTTCGTAATGCGGATGGCCGTCACGCCACGATGGGGGAGGATCGCGAATCGGGCGCCACGCAGTACATCTTTCTGTGGTGCGGTTTGATCACACTCACGCCGGGCGGTGTCCCTGAGTGACAAGTTTGTCCGGTGTGTATGCGCCATGCCGTTGCTGAATTATTTAACCATCGCGGAAATGGAGGTTGTGGCGTCACGCTTTTTGTACGCGGCGGCCATTTTGTTCAGGCGTTTATGTGCCTACTACTTTTTCATCAAGGCAGTGCGACGACGATTATCGGCACTTTACCGGGGGATTGTGCTGGAGACATCCCCGATAAACCTCCACCAGCAGCGGTTGGTTTGGGCGAGAGATTACGACACAGCATCGAGAATATAATCGTTAGCGAATCATCAAGCCCACGGAAAAGGCATAGGCCGCCATCATCACAAATGCATTGTTTTGTGGATGGGGAGCCGTTATCATTCCAGACTCCGGCGACGTTAAAACTGCCGGATGAAAACGGAAGAGGAATTCCTTCTTATCATGCACGCGGAGGCATGCGCGGTACGCTTAGCCTTATCGGTCTTTTCCGCCATCTTGCCATCCACCATGGGCGTTTGGGTGGACAACACCTCGCTGCAAGGAGCGGCGAATAAAGGCAGATCAAAATCACACGCCATGACGTGGGAGCTGCAACGGATATATGAGTTTGTTGACTCTCGCGGAATACAGGCATCCTTTGCCTACGTACGGTCTGCGGAAAACCCCGCAGACGGCATGTCACGCGGTCGTGTGTTTACACTTCAGGACTTGGCGAAGGGGAAGCGGCGGGGTCTTTTGGCTGCAGGATCCCAAAGTCTGCCACTTCGTAAGTAATAAATAAATAAATATTCCATCGGAATGGAGTGAGCGGGCCACAATTGAGGCTAACGTATGGTATAATATATAAATGCACTTACTTGCTGCTAAACTTTGGGAATGTGGTGAATCCACTCTTATCCCATTTATTCATTTCTTATTCCTATCTGGTTTGGTTTCTATTATCGATAAACTCATGATCCGGCCGGCTGCCTGGAAGATTATTCTAATTTATTTATCGATCTATCTATCTATGTGTGCTTATATATTTCCTCTGAAAGGATTCTTTTCTGTAGAAATGCCCTTGCGAGCAATTGCCAATTTTTTTTTCCATTGATTACTGCTTTACATTTTTTATTATTGTTTTTCGTGTCTAACTCTGCCGCCGGGTTTTATCACAGAAAAAGAAAAGGGCTCAAACGGATGGAGACCCCTATGGTGGTGCTGCCTTTTGTTGTTTGCGCCCAATAGGCCAATAAAGAAAGAAGATTTGGCCATTACGACAGGGTGCTGATTGAGGTACTGTTTCTTGCGGTTGTTTTTTGCGGTGGTGATGGGGGAGGTGATTGGGGAAACACTGGGCACAAAATGTGACTTGAAATCCTGAACTGCGTTTTCAGAATGTCTG